GCTGCCGAACAGGCTGAGAGTTATGCATTTTGGTTTTGGGAATGAAATAATATGAGATTTTTGTTGGAAGGTTTGCATGGAATGGAATGGTCTACAATAGTTCAAGCTAGATGATGTTTGGTTGTGCGATGGCATTGCATATTATATTATGCGAACAAATTATGATTAGTATTTCTTTTTACGAGTGGTGGTATTTTTGTTGGGCCCATCTTTGGGCTCCCAAGGCCTACAGAACTAAATGTGTAGTGGGCCTCATTGGACCGGCCTCGTTGGATGAAACCAGGACTGCAAGAAACTAAACTTTATTCGTTTTCTTTTCTTTCCCTGTTTGCTCTCTGTTTTTTATTAGAGAGGGAAAAATGAATATGCGACTCTCTTGAGCTATGATCAAAGTAAGATTACGTCACTAATGCTACAGATGAGCGAGGTTAATGAGATGGAGGTGATCAATTCCTTCGGTCGAGTTTTCAAAATGACCAATGAGATGGAAGCATGCGCGTATGGCCAATATATATCTCCTTATTTTTAACCCTCTGGCGTACGTACGGAGAAAGACGGGCGGAGAGACGGAGGTAGGGAAGACAACCACCGGCCAGTGCCGATAGCTAGTTCCGTCGACCGTCACGCATGGGCCGCCGTCGTGTCGTCTCGTCGAGTCGATCGCCGACGGTGCACCCATGCGGCCATGCATATCCTCGATTATTTTATCTTGATCTTGATGAGAAAAGAAAAGAAAAAGAAAATCGTCAGAAATGGCGCGCCGCATGCAACAAGGCGACGAAAGGGAGGGAAATCTAGGAGCACGTGGCCAGTGGCCTGGAATTCTGGACTGGACAGGAGCCTGAGCTGAAAGCGCTTCGGCAACGGTCGTTAAAAAGCTTCGGCTGGCTCGTTAAGCGCGCGGTATAAAAAATACACAAAATATAATATTTGCATTTATCTAAAATTTGTGAATAATAATAATACAAAATAAATGCATCTAGACGGTTCTGGAGTCAATTAAGGAGTCTAGAGTCGCCGCCGTCTCAATTGTCAGAAAGTACAAGCTGAAGTAATACAAAACTAATACAAATTTTGCTTTTTTCCGAAACGACGCGTTTAGCTCCCCACCTCATCTTGCCTAGTTGGTTTTATCTTAACGAGCCTTAAAATCTGATCCATTCACTAAATGACTTTGAGAGCCGAAAAATCTCAGTAGAAAGAAAGCTAAAGTTCGAGTTTTCGTCCATCCTTGAAGGCGACGAAAGGGAGGGAAATCTAGGAGCACGTGGCCAGTGGCCTGGAATTCTGGACTGGACAGGAGCCTCGCTGCGAGGCAACGGTCGGCTTCGGCTGGGCCTGGGCGCGCGGGTGCTGCGTGCGTGCTGGCTGCTGGGCCACACGGCCACACCACTCCATTGACCGACCGACCACACGCGCGCGTCGGAGTCGCCGCCGTCTCGCTGCGTGCTGGGCCCCGGCAGCTCCAGCGACGCACAGGACGGGCAGCCCCACCACATCTTGCCTAATGCTTCGTGCTGGGGTTGTTAGGTTTCTCCTTTAGTCGCTGTCCCATCAAATGCTCGACACATACACGAAGTATTAAATATAGACTAATTATGAAATTAATTGCACAGCTTATGACTAATTTGCGAGACGAATCTTTTAAGGATAACTAGTCCATGATTTGACAATGTTGTGCTACAGTAAATATGTGCTAATGATGGATTAATTAGGCTTAATAAATTCGTCTCGTGGAGTACTAATGGATTCTGTAATTTGTTTTACCCTCACGTGACACCTCCTAAATTTTAGCCACCGGATCCAAACATCCCCTTAAGTTAACGAGCTCGGCCGAGATGTCATCTACCTTGGTTTGGGCAATCTGCATAGTTTGACAATTCATTTATTTTACTATATATATGCCCGTGCATTGCACCGTGATTATATTATTTTTTTGACTGAACCTCACTATTACTTGGACGCAGACACGTGAGCTCCAAGAATTTCGTATTAGATGCGGACATGTGGATCCGATCTTTGTATTGGAACCAAGTAGAATGCGAACGCGTGAGCTCGAATGGAGGATGATTAGTATCGGACGTGGATACATGAGCCAGAGCGATATTTGGTATCACCGGATAGATGATTATTTTAGAGTCTTTTTAGGTGTAGAAGAAGAGATTAGCCTTGCATATTACTCCCTAAGTAAAAGTAAAGAATTTCTTGCTTCTTTTTTTTTTAAGTTCGAGGGGAAACAGCCCCTCCCTTCTAACTATATATTAGCCAAAAGACCAAAAGTCGATTACAACATAGGTTTTAAGTGATTAGGAGCCTCACACCAGCCGAAGGAGGACGCGCCACAGGTAGCACAAACATCAACTAGAAACAAAACATAAAACAAAGAAATTATTGCTTTCTCGAGTAGTTAAACAATTCTAAATTTATATAATCAAATCTACAAACATATACTAACATTAGATATATGCCCGTGCGATGCATCGGGGTTCACGATTTTTGACTAAACCTCAGTAATAATCGGACACAAACACATGAGCTCCGAGGACTTTTTGTATGGATACGGTGTGGATCCGGTCTTCGTATTAGAATCGGGTAGGACGTGACATGTGAGCTCCGAGTGAAGCATGATTCATATCACATGCGAACGGATCGAGGATTTGGTATCTCCGAGTAGATGATGACTTTAGAGTGTTTTAGGTGTAGAGATAGAGAAGAGATATATAATAATAAATAAGTATTATTAGATAAATCATGGAAGACATTTTATAGTAAATATATTTCAAGCCATAAATATTAAAATTATCACTTCTAAATTTAATCGAAAAATAAAAGATACTTATTCAAAACTTAAAATTGTATTTTGTGAATTGAGGGAGCAGTATTTTTTTTTTCGCAGAACCATTTATTTATTCAGTTGGTGGACCGAAACGCAGCGGCATTGCGTGCGAGTCTGCAACGGCTAGTATAAAAAAGCGGCGTCCGTGCGTAAACTACCCAGGACAGACAGGGCCCGAGTAGAGTCCGCGGCAGCGCGCTTTCCGAAAGCGACCCAGAGCCTTGGCCCCTCTTTCCGTTGGCTTCCCCTAGTTGGCAATTTGGCATCATTGGCGCTCCATTTTCTCTCGAGTTTGAACTGGACGACGGTACGTTTTTGCTCTAAATTTTGGCACATCTTTAAAGCTTACCATATGCATGCTGTGAGTAACCAAATCTTTGTAGGAAAAAAATAAAATAAAATTTATAGCTGGCTCCTCCTATTTTACGTAATAATAGTTAGCTAGCTAATTGTTTAGCGAGATTTGTTTGGTCCACCTACTAATATATTGCTAATAGGTGGCTGGCTATTAGCACATGTTAGCAGTCCGGCCAACCCCAGTGAAACTAATACTAGCTAGTTTGCTCCTAGCTAGTTAGTTGGCTACTTACATGCATCAGTAGTAATTTTAGCTGCTAACTATTAATACCATCAGTGGATCCAAGTATGCTGTTAGTGCATTATTAGATTATATACTACCAGCAGTATGAACTGTGCACAGTCCGCTACTACTGATGAGCCAGCTTACTATATTAGCATTCGCGCTGCTGTCCATTTTTAAAATTTATTTACCAGAGTACACTCAATTATGAATTTCTCATCTAACCTAGCGCTTACCGAGATGGACTGGCCAGGATTGACTAGGCCAGGGCCCACCTGCCAGTCACCTCATGAACCTATGGCCCAGTCTGAACACGCTTTCCGCACCCTGCTACACCCAGAAAACCAAACCCGATCCCACCACGGCCGCGGCGCGTGCGACTCCGACTCGGAACATAAATAGAGTCTTTCTCCGAGGGCTCTCCCGCAAGATCTCCCTTCCCAGCCCATCCCAATCCCCATCGAGCGTGGAGCGGCAGGATTTGAAAATCCGCGAGGTTTGTCCGCTTCCTCCGCTTCGCCATCTCAAAGCAAGCGGAAGGGGAGAGGCTCAGAGGCCAGGTGCAGCAGCAGGAGCCCAACGGCAACCTCCGCCACGGAGCAGCAGCCCGCAACCAAGCAGCAAGGTGCCGTGCGTGCCGTTCCCACTTGCCTCTCTCTCTCTCTCTCTCTCTCTCTCTCTCTCTCTCTCTAACTTCTCGATTCGATCGCTGCGGTTGCCTGCCGGCGTGTCTGTTTCCCCCCCTCATCTCGCCGCGCCATCGTCTGCGGTGGAGTTCAGATTGGCGTGGCGTGGTGAGGCGATTGCTTTCTTGGAGCCGGGATCGCGCGGGGTCGTCGTCATTGTGCGGGTGAATCTGTTATTGCTGTCACTGACCTTGTTACGGGCGCCCGCGCTTCGATTGGTTTCTCGGCCCTGTTCGGGGTTTGGCCGGCCGTTTGGGTTTATCCCGCCGTGCCACCATAGGAGTTCTTGCTGCTGCTATAGGATTCTTGTCTGCCCACTGCTCAGTACAATAGCGATATCGACTGCCTGACATAGTTCAGGGCTTCAGGCGACGTACGCCTCCTCTGTTCTTCAGTTACTCGATTACTTCTCGTTCGTGCAGTACAGCCTTCTTTTTTACTCCTGCTGCTGTTCTGTTCGCATGGCATGCCATAGTTTTACGAACCGTAGGCTCGTATCACTCCTGGAGTGAGGATCCGTAGACTGAAAGCTTTTTTTTCTGTCCAAGTTCTGAATTGTTCCGTGACATGAACTTCATAAGGTGCATCGAAAACGATCTGATATTTTTAGTTTCCTATTCCCCTGAGGTACAACAGCTGAACTTTTCAGGCTACGATCGGTTCTTTTCCGGCATCTGTTCTTGTTTCCTAACTTGTGAGTGATACCCTTTCCCAGTTGTGAGGGATACCACAAACCTGGAAAATATCAATCTACGTTATTACAAATCTAGAAATCACGAATATATTATGTCGGGGCTAATAGGGAAAACAAAAGATTTTGTGGCATCGGAACTCTCCCGTTCTGTGTAACACTGTTGGTTTCTGTGAACGCTTCAGGTAAGGTAAGTGACGAGACAAGATGGTGCACCAGGACGAGGAGCTGCCGCAGGCATGGTGGTTCGACAGCCACAACCTCGCGAGGCCATCTCCATGGCTGAACAGCACGCTTTCAGGTTTTGCCTCACTCCCTTGAATTTCCCGATAATGGATGCTCTGCTGTCCTTTTTTTTTTTTTTTGAAAATTGCTCTGCTGTTCTTACTGTGCCTTTTAGCATGTAGAACTGTCTTCATTTTGTAAGCAGTACGTGAGGAAAAAACATGTGTCTACTCGAGTCCAGTTGCAGTGAAACCATGCTTTAATTTCTGTATGCAGAACTTAATTCGTCATCCATTTTAGTGTACTCTTGTCATGTAGGAACTATTTTCTCAAAACTCTAGTACTGATATTTATTTGTTTTATCATTTATATGCCATGATGAAATACCAGTTTTCAGTGAATTATAGCAAATTCCATTTTGAGTTTACATAGAAATTTCTCTAATTACTCCAAAACTTGACAATCTATGTCATCTGAATCATTATAGCAAACTACAACATCTATCTACTGCACATTGCACTTGACTTCACATGACCACATGGGAATTTATAGCCTGGTTATCTGTCCTGTAGACTGTAGTTAGGAGTATCTTTAAGTCCTTTGGGCTCTGATGAAACTGCCCTTGCTTCAGAGTTCAGTCGTAGAGTTACACATCTTGCTTACTGAAGAGACTATTGTGTTTGTCCCTTCCCTTCGATGAGCAGAGCTGGATGACAGGACCAAGCAAATGCTGAAGCTGATCGACCAAGACGCGGACTCGTTCGCCCAGCGTGCTGAGATGTACTACAAGAAGCGGCCGGTGCTGGTGGACATGCTGGGCGACCTGTACCGCACGCACCGCTCGCTGGCGGAGCAGTACGACCTGCTGAAGCACGGCAGTGGCACGCGGCACACGGTGTTCGGCCTGTCCTCCTGCACACAGAGCCGGTCTCAGGCGTCCTCGACCAACGGCAAGACCACGCCTCGCTCCTCCTGCTCGGCGTCCATGTACGACTCGGAGTCTGAAGTCGATGACCCCGAGCTAGATGAAGACGAGGCAGAGCAACTGGCGTGTGCGGGGATCACCAAGACGGAGCCGCCGTCGTCGCCGGAGCAGCAGCAGCAAGAGCGTGAGCAGGTGGAGCAGCAGATGCGCGCGGAGATCGAGAGTCTCAAGGCGCAGAACGCGGCGCTGCAGAAGGCTGCCGAGGAGAACGCGGCAGCGCTCAGGGCGGAGCTCGCCGCGAAGGACGAGGAGAAGAGGGAGGTGATCAGGCAGTTGGCGTCGTCCATGGACGTGATGAGGCAGGAGAACCTGACGCTGCGCGAGCACATCGTCAGGGGATCATCGTCCAAGTATTCCTCATCTGCACCCCGCGCCGCGGCGTTCGATCTCAGGAAGGTGGCCAGGGGCCTCTTCACCGCGAGGCTCTTCACCGCGCACTGCAGGCCTACGGGCCCTATCGTCGCGCTCTGATTCATTTAGGATGTGGCGCGGCGCGGCGCGGGGCTGCAGGATCGAATCGTGAAGAGAGACAACATAACTGCATGTGGTTGATCGTGGTATGATATGCATTTGTTGTAGGTGAGTGATGTGCATATAAGATGGCATCGGTGTCCCTCCCCACTCTGATTCTCAGGTTTATAGCAATAGCAACCAAAACTGGGGAGGAGCACTCGTTTTGTTGACTAGTAGTGCTGTAGTAGTAGTTAATTATAGTTAAATATTTATTAGCCATATGGATATGCATGTTTGTATGATGGCGTTAATTATAGTTACGTATTCTTTTGTTAGTTCCTCCTGTGCTGTGACTATGATTCTTGGACCTTGTTGACCTTGTTAGACTATTGCTGCAGTTGTCTTCCTGTCTTAGAAGATTAGAGCAGCACCTTGCAGAAGCTGCCAAGTTGAGAGTACCTTTCGCCTGAGGTACACAGAAACCACGAAATCCTAATTAGGGTTCTAATCGTTTGTGGATCGAGCAACCCAGCAGCTGCTGCTTCATCTTTCACCTCTGTATATGAAGCCCATTCACATGGTTCCTGCACCAACACATATACAGTGCTACCGTCCGGACATTCGGACGACGCCCACGCTTGCACTCCGTTTCGCACGCACACGTGGGGGCCCGCGTTGTCCGAACGTCGCCTGCCTCCTGACCCCACACGGAGACTGCTCGCCTCTACTTCCCCCGCCTAGACACTTGTTACGGTAGGTGGTCCCCAACAGCAACACCCGATTCATTTTCGATACATACAGATGAAACATTTTTGCAACATACGTGTGAAGATAGATGAAACACTTGAAACATGCGTCTAAAACACTTGCAAAAGCACCTGAAAATACTTGAAAAGCCATTGAAAAACGTATCCAACATCCAAGTAAAACACTTGCAACGTATGTATGCAACATTTGCAACACCCAGATAAACACACTTGTAACATACATTTGAAAATTTGATGAAACATTTGGAGCAGACGCTTGCAACATACGTGTACAACCATTGCAACATATGAACTATCCCGATCTACTTTTGCAACAGCCATATGAAACACTTGTAACATGCCTCTGAAATATCTAAAACACTTGAAACATACTCTTGCAACATTCGCTTCAAGCATAACATCTACTTGCTGCTTGTACGAATGGAGGCTCGGTGTAGGGCCGGCCGCGCATACCAACAACATGCCAGAGGCGGCACTAGCAGCGGCGATGTCCCGGCAAGTATCCACCCTATCGAACGCGTGCAGGGGATGGAGGGAGACGAGGGGAACACGGAGGTAGCGTGGTTGGTTGGGTAGAGGGCTACCATGGTTACTGTCCTATGGCCGCGACGAGCAAAGAAAAAGGGGGCGGCGGGGGATTTGCTCAGTGAGCATACACAAGGGAACTAAGAGCCTAAGGCGGTGTCGGTGGAGTTAGGAGTGGGACGCGAGAGGGCCAGAAGGAAAGGGAGCAACGATGACTGGGGAGGTCCGGGCTTGGCCGGCCCTGTCCGCGTGTGCGAGCAGCTACCAGAGAGGGAGAGGGAGTGGCACGACGAGAGAAGGGAGCATGAGAGAGAGAGGGAGGTGGGAGCAGGCATATTGGGCTCCGTAGGCCTAGGAAGGTTGGCACTTGCGGTAGGGCATGGTGGAGAGGGTGGCCGGCGCGGGGCGACGAGTAGTAAGTCGAAGCAAGCTAAGCCGGGTGAATGCGAGAGAAAAGCAGACCATTGATACTAATATTTAGGAGAGAAGCTGATACTGTACGTTCCATGGATAAAGAGATATGAGGCTATTAGGGCAGTCCCAATGCTAAAAACTATCTGTAGTTTCTATACATATTATTTTTATAGGCACTACATATAAAAACCATGGTCTCAATACATAGTTTCTACAAAACAATTTTCTATCAAATCACATACATTCTCTTCTCAATTCTCTACCAATCACATCCCTCCATGTCTTGGATCTTGTGTAGACATGGTTTCTAACTTAGACCCAGTTTCTATAATTTTTGCTCTCTCTCTTCAATAACTACCTTACCACGTTAGCAAAACGTTTATGTGACAGTACAATTAATGTCCATAGAAACTATGGTGATTTCTGTATTGGGAGTACCCTTAGACCGCCACGTTGCGTTCGGACGGCCTAATCCTATCAATTCCGTTGTTGTCATGGCCATTCTCGACATCGGCCTGAAATGAGTCATCGGACATTATTATTCGGTGGACGTGACAACGACGACGGCATCGATCTCATTCATCCTTTGCCATTATTATTACTCTCACTCACTACAGTACATAATACCTTACCAGGCCGTGAATGCACCATGACGGGCCAATATGAAGCGGCGATGGCGGGCCTCCAGCGTGTCGGGTCCCTTCGGCAGCAAGTCTCTTCCTCTCTAAGACTGCCTCCAACAGAAACAACCCAAACACGATACCCATTCAATAGTATAGGTCACCTACAGTGAAAAGGGTCGCGGACCCAAATCTCGCCTTCTCCAACAGACCCCCGAGCAGCCAAATCTCGTCTCCCTGCAAGCGTCGCCTGCCTCCCTTCCCACCGAACGCCGAGCCTTCCTCATTGCATGCGCTGCCTGCCACCCTCCTCATCGAGCTTTGGCCCTGCCGGAGAGCTCTAGACCCGCGGCCGACGAGATCCAGGGCAACCTCGGACTCGCGGCAGGCGAGATCCAGGTCAACCTCGGCGGCGCGGACTGGCGAGATCTAGGCCAGCCCCGGCGGCGCGGATCGGCGAGCAGGGGCGAGTGTGGACCGGTGAGCAGGGGCAACCTCCACCGACGGTGCGGACGCAACCTCCCCCGCGCGGAGCTTCCAGGTGCAGGCGCGCCTCGCCGTCGTCGTTCGCTCCACCCCGACGCCTCCTACGGGCCCACTACAGTGTTTGCGTCGTGGAGAGAGACGACGCTTTTTTGCCTTCCGACTCGCCTGGTACGCAAAATGGGTGCTTTGGTTGCGTTCTCTAATGAAGCGTGTTTTTGGGACGCAAAACACTGTGCATGACGTATTTTGCGTTTGGTCGCTCTTTGCTTGCGCTGTTGGAGACAGTCTAAAATATGAAAAACTAGTTTTACTATAATACTCTCTTTCTCCAATTTTAGATTTAAACCAATTCATTTTTAAAAAAAAGTTTAATTAAATGTATATAAAAATAGTATCAACATTATACCTTCAAATATATTTATTATAAAAATATACTTCGTTAATTAGTTTAATACTCCTACTTATTTGGTTCGTAAATGTTTTTTATAGATTTTCATCTAAAACGTGAAATACACCGCGGGATAGATGGAGGAGTAGGTGTCAGTTAAAAAACAACAAAATTATAAAGGATGGTAGGCGGTGATCCTGTAGCAGATACTCGAAATATAAGACATATTCATATTGCTACAGATATAGGGTTAAATACCATTTGACATCTTCGCCGATAACTGAACTCAAAGTAGAATTTTTTCTACAAATGAGTTTTAGAAGAGAGAATATTCATATTTGGATTATGCCTCTCAATAACCTAAAATGAGTCTCTAGTTATTCTGTTGGAGATTAATTTTGGATGTATTTGGTAGGATTGTTTGAGACAGTCTGACAATTTTTATTTAAGGCGCTTCCAGTCCAACGCGGGACTGGCGAGGTTGAGCTGTCAGTCCTCGGTTCGCGAGTCTTCCACACCCATCTCCTCATCTCATCTCGCGCCGGGGGTCGCCTGAGGTATCGATCAATCACCCTTACCACCGAAACCCTAGGGTTCTAGTCGTTTCTTCTGTAGGTATCTGCAGTAAACCCGAATCCTGATTAGGGTTCTATATAGTCGCTTCTCTTTGCCTGATTGATTGGTACCCTATATCTGTGGTCGCCGATTCTGCCTGGTTAGCCGGATCTGTCGCTCCTCAGTTCGTGTGTGGTACCGGATTTGGGGTATGTTCGAGTTACTTGGTAGATTTATTTATGTACATCAGTTGCATAGAAGATCTGGGTTTACTGAGTAGACTGTAGTAGTAGTATTGCCTACAGCATACACATGATTTGTGTATGACTGCGTAACGGGCGTGTTGATGCTTAGTATTAGCGCGTTGCTGAACCGAGTGCCGCAGCATACTAACTGACTACAGATGCTGCTGAGCTTTGATTCTTCAGCACTTCCTAATAGCTCGCCGCCATGTCCTCTTAGCTTACTGATGAGATGAACTTTATTCCTTTGGGGTTTTGGTGGCAGATCACAAGAGACAATGGTGAAGGCAGTTGCTGTCCTCGCTGGCCCTGATGTCAAGGGCACCATCTTCTTTTCCCAAGAGGGAGACGGTAATTCCCTTCACATGTTGACTTATGATGAGGATCCCTGTGCTGTATTCCTCTGTGCACATTGACTGGCTGGTTGCTAACGAGAGTATCTGGTTCGTGCTTAGGTCCGACCACCGTGACTGGAAGTATCTCTGGCCTCAAGCCGGGGCTCCATGGGTTCCATGTGCACGCGCTTGGTGACACCACCAACGGCTGCATGTCCACTGGTACCTACTGCATCTCTTTTCCTCTATGTTATGTGTGTATGATCAGGGATGCAAGTGGATTGTGCTGTGCTTATGGGGGGGAATTGTTTTTTTGTGCTGTAGGGCCACACTTCAATCCTGCTGGTAAGGAGCATGGCGCACCAGAAGATGAGAACCGCCATGCCGGTGATCTTGGGAATGTGACAGCGGGAGAGGATGGTATTTTGTCTCACTGCCTTGTGCCTCTGTTTGGTTCATTTGTATTGGAGCAACCTTTATAGTAGTTGGCTGAAATGAGTAGATGTGATTTGTTGCATTGAGACTGCAGCGCATATCCCACTGACAATTTACTTGTTGGCTTCCCAGGTGTTGTTAATGTCAATATTACTGACAGCCAGGTTAGTGATACTCGCTTTCTCTAAGTAGTAACCATGTTGTCTGTTTCCTTTGCATTTTGGTTTGAACTTGTTCATTTGACATGGAACACATATTTGAATGGCAGATCCCTCTCACTGGGCCACACTCGATCATTGGCCGAGCTGTAGTTGTCCATGCTGATCCTGATGACCTTGGCAAGGGTAATTCTCAGTAAACACTTCGATCATGCATTTCGTGGCTTGATCTTTGTCAGATCTTTATGGTTTCTCCAAAGCAGTTTCTGTTATGCTGTTTGTACATTTGCAGTTTGCACTATCCTTTAAAGAGTAGGTAAAGTTCATAATATTTGAGGTAATGTGAAAATTTGGGGGATATCTAGCCTTAGCTGCATTTCTCACTTTGCAAACAATTTTCACATGCTTTTGGATCAATCTGTTGCCTATCAGTTAGTTTATGTAATGACTGGCAGACATAAAAGGTGGATGCATTACTGTGTTAGGGGAATTTTCTTGATTTTAACTACTTTCTGAATGTGTACTATTTGAGTCTGGTTATCAATTATTCCATGGATGTTTCTTTTGTAACAAAAGTTTGTTAAGTCAACTCTAGTGTTTATCTGTTAGCCTCTTTTAGGCAGCACTTTTGTGCTGATTTTTGGACACTTTTATTGTTCTAAATAATAGGTGTATGATTGCTATACAAGGCAATCCTATATAAAATGTGTTCATATAACAATACTCTGGTTCATCAGGTGGACATGAGCTTAGCAAGAGCACTGGAAATGCTGGCGGACGTGTTGCCTGTGGTAAGTTATATGGTGAAATCTTCTCTGTATCCTGGTTTAATCCACCATTGTTGAGCTCTGTATATAATGCGGCTCGATTTATTTATCACAATACAATACTGTAGTTTTTCGTGTTAGAAATATACACATATATTCTGTTTTAACTTGTGCTCCACATTTTCCTCATCTTATCAGGTATCATTGGGCTCCAAGGCTAGATGTTAACCTCCGAGGCAAAAAATTATCGAAGCGAGCACCTCAGGAGTTGCTGTTCTATTTCCCCTGTACTGGCTCCACAATTTGGTTACTCCAAATAAGCGCCTGATCCATGATCAGAGCACTATTCATGTCATTTTATGTATGAACAATATTGCACATCTGCTTAAGTGTCCGTTCCAACAAATGCTTGTTGATTATATTTGATTGATGAGCTCTTGCGTATAAGCTAGATGTATCACTACCAGAAGTAATTCCCTCGAGGTGGTATTGGCGTATTGCCAGATTAGCCCATGAAAGAATTGATACAATACAATTGACATATCAGATAGTCAGAGACGATTCTCAAAAATAAAATTAAAAAAAAAAAATCAGATAGTCAGTGACTACAAAAAGCCAGGCGTAAACATGACATGTAGATGCAGTCATCTAGCCTAGAAAACACCGTCGTTGCCAGTATGGAAATTCATGGAATGGTAATGCTCACGCGCGGGCGTCCATCCGATTAGACGCCGCCTTCCTGGGCCTACGCGGTCCACCAAGCCTGCCTCCTCCTTTTTACGTCTCACATCTCTCTCCCAAAAATATCTGCCCACTTTCTCGTCCATCGCACGCTTCACGGTGCTATGCGGCCGTTCGTTCGCCTCACTCCGCATTTGCCGCCGCAGCCATCTCCCCGCACGCGCCCACCCTGTGTTGTTAGCTTCTCGCTCCTGCCCGTTGCGCGCGCCCACCCACGCCTCTCGCTCCTTGCTCCCACAGTCCCACCCGCCACGCGCCCACCCGTGCCGCTCGCTCCTGCGCCATCAGGCACACCGCCTACCTCTGCTAATGCTTGTGGTGCCGTCGCGCACCTCAGGCCGGTCCCCGGACGAGCCAAGGGCATCCATGAGCGTGGCCCGTGCTGGTGGTGCTCGCGCCTTGAGGCCGGAATCAACCGGCCCTGACCTCCCCTCCCATATACTGCAAATATATGTTTCAAGTGTTTCAGAGGTATATTGTAAGTGTTTCGTATGATGCTGCAAAAGTAGATCGGGATGTTGCATATGTTGCAAGTGTTTCGGAGGCATGTTGCAAGCGTTTGTTCAAAATATTCCATCTGTTTCAAACGTATGTTGCAAGCCTTTTTTATTTGGATGTTACACATGTTTCACACCTATGTTGCAAGAGTATGTTCGAAATGTTTCAGTTGTTTCAGTCTTATGTTGCAATAAGTGTTTTTCAACTTTTCATGTTGTAATTTGCAAGTGTTTTATTTGGATGTTGCATATGTTTCACACACATGTTGCAATTGTATGTTCCAAATATTTCATCTGCTTCATTCGTATGTTGCATCAAGTGTTTCATGTTTCAGAGGTAGAGCATCATGGGGGGCATGACCTGGATGCCGGGGGATGGGGCGCGGCGATCCGTGGGCCGGCGATCGAGGCGCGCAGCGCACCTAGGATCCCACGGACGGGGCGTGCTCGTCCTCATGCTGGCTCTCGGGTCCCATCCGCCCAGAGATAGAGGAGGGGGTCAGGGGGAAGGAGCGGCATTTCCCGTGGGCACGTGAGCGTCCGGAATCGCGATCGCGGAGAGAGTGAGGAGGGGGCCAAGGGGGAAAGAGCGGCAGGCGCAGTCTTTTCCGTGGACACGCGCTTTTGTCTGGACTTACGGATGCTTAGTACTTCCGTTCATACAAAGGTCGCAATAAGAAAGAAAAAGGGGGCCAAAGTAGGGACAAACTATTACGGTCTGTTAAAAATCTTCTGAAAAAAGGAGGAAAACGCTGTCCTATTATAATTTCGGAGCAGTAGCTTTGACATTATCGGTATTGGGGATGGTTGCAAATATACAATCACAGATTCACATCACAGATTCACAGAAGCAAATAAAACTCCGGACCAAATCATGACATCGAGGTATCTTTGAGGCAGAAATTCCTTGACCATTCAATATGTTTTTCACTACTCCACATTATATTGACGATGGCATCAAGCAACTGAACTTTTACATGACTCCACCATGTACTCTCTGTGATGACTTTCTGAACTATCTATAATACTACCATCTTAAAACTAAGAACCTATCTACAGCATCAAAACTCGACGAAAACATCTGCCATCTACGGTGACACTGAAGGAGGCGTCATCGGCGGCTCCGCTGGGGTTGGAGGCATTGTCGGCGGCGCCTGATGCGCTGTCAAATATGAACATGTATCACCAGATTAATCTTCTTACGATGGATCAAAATCGAAGCATGTGTAAAATCTGTGGAATCTCGTAACTTAATGCGAGACATTGTGACTTACAGTTGCAGGCGAAGAGCGTCTGGATGGGCAGCATGGTGCCGCAGGCGAGCGGGAGGATGGTCATGCGGATGCGGTCGACGGGTTTGGGCAGGAACTGGTCCATGTCGCCGTTCATGCCGTGGCAGAGGCAGATTGGCGCGTCCCTGATGATGGACCTGAGCCCGTTGCAGCACTCGCCGGGGGGCGTCAGCACGGTGATGTTGGTGAGGTAGTCCGTGCACGGCAGCATGCCAGCCAGCGGCGTCATGCACTCCGTCGGTTGGGTGCCGGTGCCGGCTTGGAGAGGCGGAGACGACCCCGGCGGCGGGATCAGTGGCTGCAGCAGGCCGATGATGGCGCCCAGCGGCGGGAAAAGCAGGCCCAGGATGGCGGGCAGTAGCTGTGGAGGCAGGCCGGCGGGGATGCCTGCCGCCGGGGGTGTCGTCGATGGCCGTGGCACTGGCACACCGCCGGCTGCTGCTTGGTCGGCCAGGGCCACCTTTTCTGCTGCTTCTTGGCCTGCGGCGACCGCGGGCTTGAATGCTTGCTGGGCTTGTACCATCCTCGCCGCTTCCGAGGGCTGCAGCACCGCCGCCGCCGCCATGGCGAAGGCCAAGAACAGGGCGATGAGCTTGGGCGAGGCCATGTCGAATAGTCGAACTGCAAGGAGGCTTGGGAACTAGGACGATGATATGCTACGTCGAGGTTTGGCCTTCAATTTATACACCGTGTTCGGCTGGTGGGGACTGGGCTGGTTGGGGCTGGAGTGGGCTGATCATTTCAGTCCAAACCAGCGGGTATATATACCAGGCTGCCGGCGCTGGTCTCCCTCTCCCATTCGCTCGCGTCACCTAGGGTTCCCCCTTACCAGCCGCCTCCCACAATCGCCGTCATCGCCCCCTCCCCTCCGATCTCGCGCAGCGGCCGCACTCCAGCTCGCACCATCCCATCGGAGCTCCCCCATCCGCCGCAACCACACTCGGCCCCTCCTATCGGACCTCCCGTAGCCACCGCCGTCAGGCTCCGAACCTCGCATCGGACCTCTCGCATCCGCCGCAGCCTACGTCGGCCCCTCGCATCGAAGCTCCCGCATCCTCCGCCTTCGACCTCGCCCACTGCACCTCCCGCATCCGCCGCCTCCAACTCCGTCAGTCAGCCTCCGTCGTATCCCCGCCCACGCTCACCCTTCAGATCCGCCCGTCTCCAAATCCGTCCTCGACGTCGTCTTTCCACTCCCCCACGGCCCCACGGCACGGAACGCATCCACTAGTCAGACCTCCGGCTTGAGTCTGGCGGCGGCTGACGTAAAGCACGCGAGCCAGCGCGACGCCGCGCGCGACGCAGCGACGCCACTCGGCGGCGGCAGCGGCGGCGGTGAACGCTTCCACCCGGCGTCCACGAGGCTTTTCTCTGGTAAGGCGGTTCTTAGTTCTTATGATCGAGGGCTAGGTGATTCAAAGACTAGGTTAACCGTGGCGGCGAGATCCGGCCCGTCGTCATTGGGCGGACGTGAGATCGAGCTCGTCGTAGTGGATGTAGAGGAGATGGGTTCCAACTTGAGCCTCGAGCTCCAGTTATGCGGCGTTCGGTGAGCGCGCCAGCGCGCGGACACATGAACAATGGCTTGCTTGGCGTGGGTGTGCGGCAGCCACCAACCGTTGCAATGCGGCGCCAAGACTAGCATCTGGCATCAGCTAGCGACACAGGTTGGGGCCGCTGACCGGTGGCGATAAATTTGGTCGAGAGGAATCCTGCCGTTTGCTTTCGTACTTGCGATGCAAATTGGGACTTGTTGAAAAGTGTTGTACGTATTTTATCGGTGGGCGTGCACCCAAATAGGAGTACCCAAATTGGGACTTGTTTGATCTACATTTGAGATCTGGTTACATATATAACTCAGTTGTACTCGTTCAGATCATATACAAACTATTGGTTTCTTCTAAGCTCAACTGCATACAGGAGATCCAAATTCATTTATAAAATGTGAATGGTATTAATCGATATCTTACTAACCTGCTTATGTCCAGTTTTTTTACATTCGACCCCTATGGCAGAAATCACAGTTCACTTTGTCCACTCTACATACAGGAGATGCATTAGTATTTTTTAGGCTTAGATTATATGTGTTATGTGATCATGTGAGGTTTCTGACATTGTTACTTCTACATTCAAGAAAGATCATGTATATGATGAAATCAGTACCTAAGCAAAAGAAGGTGCATATATTAGATGCAATTGAACAATGTCATGAAACTAGGATCAAATTAAACTCTTCTAGTGACTCTTGGCTGTTCCTTTTTCATTTTATGCTTGTACTCTTGGTGGTACCTTCTATAGGATCAAATTAAACTCTTCTAGTGACTTAGGACTATATCTTGCTTGTTTATGTTTTTACTTGAGGAAAATAAATCAAAACTTGATCCGAGATGTTTATAGTTCTGTTACATTTATTGATGCTATGAAGCCATGCTCTTTTGTTGCGTCTGTAATGCACATGTTCATACATTTCATAACTTAATTTGTCCTATTCCTTCGATGTAGGAACCTTTGCGCAGATACCACATGTACAGCCCCCTCTGTTGGCATTGTCATCCTCGTCAAATCTGCTCTATATACATGGAGGTCTGCGGTCCTTCCCTACGTCATGGACATCCAATCATCCATTCAAGGTGAGTTCGACTCCGCCCCTTTCTCATTGGACTTAGTTATTGTGTGGTAGCAGACGTTGCT